ACCAAGACCCAAAATAAGCTGTTCAGACCAGGCACAGTGCCTCATGTGTGTAATGCTAGCACTTTGAGAGGCCAAGGCAAGAGATCACTTAAAGACAGGAGCTCAAGACCAGCCTGAACAAGAAAGCCAGTGAGACCCCATCTCTACAAAAAATAGAAAAATTTGCATGTCTATAATCCCAGCTACTCAGGAAGCTGAGGCAAGAGGATTGCTTAACTCCCGGAGTTTGAGATCGCAGTGAGCCATATCACAGCATGGCACACTCTAGCCCAGAAGACAGTGCAAGAAGCAAGGACCCCTCCCCAAGGTGACTTGCCTTTAGATCCACTGCTTTTACTATTAATGTTCTAGCTTCTAGTTTCCTTGATCTGTTTCATATCTTAGATTAAGGAATCTTGGGGAGTAAGACTACTACTGCCATACAATCATTACTACTGTCTTACCATTACTACAGTAAGGAACAATACCACTTTGTCCTTATTCACCATCAATATAAAGAAGGAAGAAGGAAGACACTTACCTAGCTGGCCAAAATCAGTCAAATGAGTCTGGCAGTTCCTGGATATCAAAGTTTGAGGCAAATCACTGTTGCAAGTAATATATGATACACAAAGCCTTAAAGATAAAAAATGAAAACCACCTGTTCCAGTCCATACACCATGTTATTGTGAAAGTAGAACAGAGATTCCAGTCTCCTGAATCCTCTATCCACAAACCATAATGCAGCACACAAATCCACTAACAAAAATGAACAGAAAGTTTTTAGTAAGTTAGCCCAGTGTAACAGGCAACTAAACATTTTTTTAAGTTTTAAAGTGTGGCAATTAATCACATCTCTAGGAAGCGTGTGGTATAGCTAAACGGCGATTCACAGGCAAACCTCAAAAACACCAAAGTTGCTTATGACTGTAAACCCCACTCAAATTTTTTCCCAAGTGGTTTCAACATTCTGTTGGAAGAGTGACAGTTGGACGTAATGGTTTTATTTTCTCACTTTTCTTCAGAAACCAATCCATTTCACTATTGCATAATTTCCAATCTTTTTAAACCCTTGACCCCTTTGGATAAATCTGAAAATCTCATGACACCGTTCCCCACCCTGACAAGTGAGTTTTGTGTGTGCAGAAAAATAAATTCTTTTTCCTGCATATAATGTCAGACAAAAACAAATTATTGCATTTTACTTTTTAAGTTATCATAAGGAAAGGGATGGTTTACTTTCCAAATATAAAAAATATATTTTAATATTTTTTCTTCAAATTACATATCACCTCTCCTCACACTCCATTTTGGCCTTCTCATCTACTAAATCAACTGTATGCTTCCATTTTTTAATTTCTAATCTATTCTCATGAAATATTGAAGTCCAATTTAAGGCTTTAAATGGGTCTATAATTGTCCAAATACTTAGAAGAGTTGTCATTTATAAAAGAATTCCAAGATAAAAAGGAATCAAGCAATAGAAATTAAACTCTTAGGTTCATAAGATATTAAGCACTCAGAGCCCTAAGAGGAAAATGAATCTCTGGGCCTATGGCCTAGACATCTGTATTATAGAAAAGAGTCTCAGCTGATTCTAATAACCACCTGTATTAGGAAACCAGTTAATCCTATTCCATTATTTGACAGATGAGAAAACTGAAATGCAAAGAAATTAAGTATGGCTTACCCAATTTGCTAACTTAATTTAAGCAACTTTTTAAAATAGTAGTCAGATTTCTATCATCAACTCTCATTTATAGTGAGAAAAAAAAATTTACAATCATTTAACCTTCCTCCTTTTCCAAAAATTGCCTGGACAGCTAAAAAGTGACAGATTGAATATATTACTTTATTTCCTTTCTGATTTATGACTGCAATAAAATAGCAACAAAAGGATAAAAAAGGTCTAACCCAGAAAGAAAAGGAGAAGCTTGTTCACTGTTTTGGAAGATGTTAAACAGATGATGGAATGGTGACTGATGTGATAGAAGAAGGAGCTTCAACATAAGAAACACATCTGGAGGTACCAATGAGAAGTGGATTTATTTGCCCTAAAAAAACTCAGTAGCAATTACCACACTACATGGCAATGGGTAAGATTTTAAGTAAAAAGGCATATGGGTGGCTGAAATTCATCTACCCTCTTTAAAAAACATTTTTTCATAGTTTCTTTGAATAATATTAAATAACATTAAGCCTGTTTTTACATATATGCTAAAAACTTATCAATTATGCCTTAATCATAATGTAAAAGAGAAATAAATGGAAACTAAGGCATAATAAAACAGTATATAAAATAGTAAATCATAATACAATAATGTACCTTAATATACAACATTCAGGCATGATTACACTAGAAAATATAGTACAAAATTAAGATGCCCTTTATATCTGTATGTAGAATCGTTGTAAATGCAACTTCTATAAAAGTAGATAGATAAGATGTGTTGTATAGGTGGCTCAAATGCCACAAGAAGTAGCAGTACTAACAGTGACATGATTTTCCAAAATGAACAAGTCTAGGTAATATTATGAATATACATGTCAGCATGTAAACAAATTTCATTCTTGGAAATTTAGAGTATATTAGAAATATGCAAAAGGATGCATCATGAATAAATGTATCACAGAGTTATGTTTAAGACCTATCTATTCCAGAAAATAGGAGAGAAGGAAATACTTCCCAACTCATTTTATAAGACCGGCATTACTATTACAACCAGATGAAGACATTACGAGAAAATAAAATGATACACAAATATCCCTCATAAACCTAGGTGCAAAATGCTCAGCAAAATATGAAAAGGATAATACATCCTAACCAAGTGGAACTTATTTCAGGAATGCAAGGTTGGTTGTAACACTTGAAAGCAATCAATGCACTCCACCATATTAACAGAATAAAGAATAAAAATTATATGGTCATCTCAGTTGTTGCAGAAAAATTCTTTAATAAAATTTAGTATCAATTTATGTTAAGGAAAAACAAAAATCCTCCCAAGAAAGAAGGGATAGAATGGAACATCCTTAACCTGATGAAGAACATCTACAAAGGGTTATAGTTAACATCACACATAATTATGAAAAACTAATTGCTTTCCTCCAAGATCAGAACAAATAAAGTATTTGATCTCTTACAATTACTGTTTATACTGGTCTTAGCAGTGCAATAAGACGAGAAAAAAACAAATATTCAGACTAGAAAAGAAGAAATGAAACTACTTCTAGACACAGATGACATGATTGTATATGTTGAAAAATTCCAAAGAGTTTATTAAAAAAAAGAAAAAAATCCTCCTAGAATGAGTGAGTTTAGCAAGTCAGAGAATACAAGGTCAATATTTTAAAAGTCAATTATATTCAAACTACTAAAATTTAAATTTTTTAATGCATCAAAAAAAGAAAAATATACACAAGTATAAATCTAAATCTAACTATATATATATAGAATATCTGGGTTGAAAACTATAAAATACTAGGGAGAAAATCCCATTTAAATAAATGAAGAGATATGCTATGTTCTTGAATCAAAGACTCAACGTAATTAATAAATTAATTCTTCCAGAATTGATGTATAGATTAAATGTAATTGTAACAAAAATTTCATCAGAGTTTTTGTAGATATTAATAAGCTGATTCAAAAATTTGAAGGACTCATACTTTTTGACTTTAGTATTTACTATAAAGCTACAATACACTCAAAATGGACTAAAAACTTAAGTCATTTAAGACCTCAGATGGTAAAACTACTGGAAGAAAATATAGAGGTAAAACTCCATGACATTGTTCTGGGCAATAACTGAGTATAAACCCAGCACAGGCAACAAAAACAAACATAGACAATATCACATCAAACTAAAGCTGCGCAGATGAGGAAACAATCAATAGAGTGAACAAACAACCTTTGAAAATGGGAGAAAATATCTGTAAATCATACATCTAATCAGGGGTTAATATCCAAAATATGTAAGGAACTCAAAACAGCTCAATAGTAAGAAAATAACCCAATTAAAATGGACTATGGATCTGAATAGACATTTTTCAAAAGAAAACATACAAATGATCAACAACAGGTATATGAAAAAATGAAAAAATAAAAATAAAAAATGCTCAACATTATTAATCACCAAAGAATTGCAAATCAAACTACAAGATCTCATCTCATACCTATTAAAATGGTTATTACCAAAAAGACAAAAGATAACAAGTATTGATGGAGAAATAAAAGGAACTATACACTGTTGGTGGGAATGTAAATTAGTAAAGCCATTATGGAAACAGTATGGAGAATCCTCTAAAAGTTAAAAATAGAACTGCCATATGATCCAGCAATCCCACTACCATGTATACAGGTTTATCCAAAGAGAATGCAACCAGTATGTGGAAGAGATATCTGCACTTCCATGCTTATTGCAGTATTATTCACAATAGGCAAAACATGGAATCAACATAAGAATTCATTCATTCAACAATTGGGCAAATGGATAAAGACAATATGGAATATAAATAACAGAACATTATTCAGCCGTAAGAAAGAAGGAAACCCTTCCATTTGCAACAACATATATGAACCTGACAGACATCGTGTTAACCAAACTAAGCCAAGCACAGAAGAACAAATACCACATGATCTTACTTACCTGTGGAATCTAAAAAAGTTGAATTCACAGCAGTAGAGAGTATATTAATGGTACATGGGGCTGAGGTGGGGGTGTGGGTAGGAAGAAGTTTTTCAAAGGATACAAAATTTCATTTAGACCATTAGAAAAAGTTCAAGACATCTGTACATCTGTTGTAACACATGGTGACTATAGTTAATAACACTGTTTTCTGTTCTTGAAAATTGGTAAGAGAGTAGGTGTTAAGTGTTCTCATTACACACACAAAAAAGATAAATATGTGAATCAATGCCTATGTTAATTAGTTTTATTTGGCCATTTCAAGGTATGCATATTTCAAAACAATATGTTATACATGAGAAATATATACCTTTTGATCAGTTTAAAATAATTATTTTTTTAAATATGAAATGCTTCACAAATTTGCGTGTCATCCTTGCACAAGGGCCATGCTAATCTTCTCTGTGTTGTTCCAATTTTAGTATAGGTACTGCCAAAGCAAGCACTAAAATAATTTTTAAAAATATGTATGATACTCCCTCAAATTACAATAAACAAGATGGTGTAGTACTGGTGAAACAGTAGACATAAATTAAGGGAATAGACCAAAGTATCCAGAAATAGACCCACATAAATATAGTCAATTAACTTTTAACAAAAGTACAAAGGCAATTCAATAGAGAAAGGGTAATATCTTCAATAAATGATTCTGGAAAAACTGGAAATCCATGTGGCTAAAAAAAAAAAAAAGAGAGAGAGAGAGAGAAGAAGAAGAGAAAAGAAAAATCCTCAACATAGCTCATACTTTATAATAAATTAACTAAAAGGCAATCATAGACTGAATTGTAAACCTATAAATGTTCCCTGGAAAAAATGGAGAAAATCTACATGACCTTGAATTTCGCAAGAATATTTAGAATTTTGAATTAAAAAGTGGTACATAAAGTGAAAAACTGATAAGTTTAATTTTATGAAAATTTAACATTTTTCTCTAAGAAAAGTATTCCAAGGAAATGAAAAGAAGAGCCACACACTGAGGAAAATATTTGCAAATCATATATCTTTTAAAGGACAAGTGCCCAAAATAAATAAATACCTCTCATAATTCAACAATACCAAACAGCTAAACAAAAAATCAACATGTGTATATGGGCAAATGATCTAATGAGATATTTTATGAAAGAAGATATACATATGGCACATCAGAATAAAAAAGTTGTTCATCATCAATAGTCATTAGAGGAATGTAGATTAAAACCCCATTGAGATACCACTACATACTATAAAGATGGCTAAATTTTTTAGATCTGCAATACCAAGTGCTAACAAGGATTCAGAGGCGCAAAAACACCAGTTATTGGTGATGGAAATGCAAAACGCTTCAGTCATTCTGAAAAAAAGATCTTGGAAATAACTTTGAAGAGCAGCATTCTCCCTAAACCACATAGGGCTAAACTCAAAAAGAACTATATATAAGCACTGTATTCTAGTTGGCAAATGTGTTTCCCACAGGGGTATATATTAACAATTCTGAAATTACTTTACATGTATACTATGATCAAACAAAGAAAGTAGATAGGTAGGTAGATAGAAAAATAGATAAAAAGACAGACAGATGATAGACAATCAGGACTGATTTTTCATTAGGGGAGAATGAAGTTACAAATAAGCCAAAGGGGAATGCTAGGAAGAAACTGCTGTGCTGCACTGAAGTGGGAGGTCTCAGAATATGCTGATGATTTTGTAAATATATAGACATATATATAGAAAGAAATATATATTTTTATACATATGAGTTAGAATATATAAATTAATAGATAAATAGATCTCTATTTCTCCTAGTCAAGTCTGCTTACAAGTCCTAGAAACAAAAAGAACTCAGTAGCAATAAACACACCTCACACTGAGACTACAGTTTCTAAATACCATTTTACAATACAAGAATCCGGGGCTCATCACAGATGTGTTTGATTCCAGTGTTGGAGCAAGGAAAATACAAAATGAGCCTTGCATCTTCTGTGGTGCCATAAAGTAAGGTAGTGCTATTAAAAAGAGAGAGAGAAAGAAGGAAAGAAGGAGAGAGAGAGAGAGAAAAGAAAGAAAAAAAGAAAGAAAGAAAGGCATGTTGAAAGGAAGGAGGAAAAAGGAATGACAACTTGTCCTTACAGAAGAATTTCAACCAACAAGCGTACAAAGAATAGGAGAACTAGGAAACCACCATTAGAACACTACAGTGACACTAGCCTAAGTCCTTGATTAGCATGAAACTGCAGTTGGTTAGTACTGCCTACCCCTGGATTTCTTTCATGTGATAGAGAAGAAAAACTCTATCTGGTTTTAATGATAGTTATTTGGGGTTTTCTGTCACTGAAAAAAATCCAACCTAATCCTAACTAAGACAAGGCTTTTTCTAAAAAGGTTTCTTATGAGGGACCTATTTTTTCGGGCATTGCCTTAGCAACCATTTACTTACTGCCTATAATGACAGCATTTGACATTGATAAATACATTTAATCTTTAGAGCAATACTATATATTATTATCCTCGTTTTTCAGATGAAGAAAATGAAAAATAATTTTTCAAGCTAGTTTGTGTGGCGGAATAATATACCCACCTAAGTTGTGGGGCAAAAACTAAAGACAAGTCCATGTCTCATTTAGAGCCAAGACTATGGTTTTTCCCCTATGTCTCACAGCCACTCCAGAAAATTTTTCGGATAACTTCAGTTGGCAAGTAGATATATAGATAAATACACACATCTGTTCATGTATATGTATTTTTGGGAGGGGCAGAAATATACTGGAGGAAGAGCTACTGGATGTTGCTGCTGATTTTACTGATACTTTAAAAGTATACTAGGATTGAACAAATAAGGATAGATGGGTATATAGGTACACAGGTAGATAGATAATGAGAGCCAGATTTCTCATTATCAGAGAAAAAAGTTACAAATAAGCAAAAGGGGAAATGTAGGAAGAACCCTGTCATGCTTCATTGAAGTGGGTGGTCTCAAAAGGTAGTAATGATTTTCTAAATATATATGCATATATATTAAAACAGAAATAAATATAGATTTGTATATATGCATGAGTTAGAATACATAGTTAAATAGATAAATACAGTGACAGCTCACACTTTAAGGGGTGACAATTCTTAAAATTCTCCAGAAGAAATAATCCTAGAAGTCCCAACCCTGGGAACTCTTTCCAATGACCTAAAAAAGTCCTAATTTGTCTGGGCACTAGAAGGATGCCACCCTATGCCATTGGGGTAGTGTGTTTCCATAGCTGCCATCAATTTCTTCCCTCTGAGAACACACATGACACCTTACCATTGAAGATTGTGTCTATTCCTGCACCCCCTTGATTTTGAGCTGGCTTGTGACTGCTTTGACCAGGTGTCTAAGAATAGACATTGAAGCACCAGAGACCACATGTATTGAGTGGAGAAGCTATCTTGGTGTCTAGCCTAGTGGAGCCTTCAGATGACTCCAGCCTGGGCCCTGTCAGACTGCAACTACATGAAAGACCCCAAAGGAGATCCAACTGAGTGAGCTCAACCAACACCCAGAACCTAGAGAAAATAAATTACTGACTTAGGGTATTAAAGTTAGGGATATCAGTTGGGCACGGTAGTTCACAACTATAATCCCACCATCTTGGGAACCTAAAGTAGGAGGATTGAGGCCAGGAGTTTGAGACCAGCCTGGGCAACACAGCAAGACACCATCTTTAAAAGAATTTTTGTTTTTAATTAGGTGTGGTGTCATGTGCCTTGTTGTTGCAGCTATTCAGGAGGCTGAGGTGAAATGAGTGTAGGAGTTGGAGGCTTCGGAGCCCTATGATGATGTCATTTAACTCTAGTTTAGGCAAAGAGTGATACATTATTTCTTTTTCTTTTTTTCTTTCTGTCTTTCTTTTTTTTTTTTTTTTTGGCCAGGGCTGGGTTTGAACCTGCCACCTGTGGCATACGGGGCTAGCGCCCTACCCTTTTGAGCCACAGGCGCCACCCCATTATTTCTTTAAGAAAAAAAATTGGAAGATGTTTTGTAATGCAGCAATACATAACAGGAACACTGCTGGTGACACTATGCACTGACATGTGGAGATTGCTGGGGACCACTGGTCAATAGATGACAGGAACACTGCTGGTGACACTATGCACTGATGTGTGGAGAGTACTGGGGACCACTGGTCAATAGATGACAGGAACACTGCTGGTGTCTCTATGCACTGATGTGTGAAGAGTTTGGGGGACCACTGGTCAATAGATGACAGGAACACTGCTGGTGTCTCTATGCACTGATGTGTGGAGAGT